CACTTTTTGTGAAACAATGACTATATTTGTACTGACATGAGTGACCATTGAGATTAAGCAGCAAGAAAGTCATATACTAATTTTTTTGTATTTTTCATTCTTATTATTAAGTTCCATGATATTCCTTTGTAGGTATAGAAATTTCCCACTCCACTTCTCTCCTTTCTTCCCCATTCATTTGTTAATCCCTATTTGTTTGCATCTTTATGTAGTAGACACTAACAAAAACTACAAAAATTCGGGCCCAGAGAGGTAGCCTAGTAGCCAAAGTCCTTGACTAGAATGCGATGGGATCCCATATGGGTGCTGGTTCTAATACTGGTAGCTCTGCTTCCAATCCCATTTCCTGCCTGTGGCGTGGAAAGCAATCGAAGACAGCCCAATGCCTTGGGATTGTGCAACCGTGTGGGAGACCTGGAAGAGCTCCTGGCTCCTGGCTTCTGATGGGCTCAGCTCTGGCCTTTGTGGCCACTTGGGGAGTGAACCATCAGACAGAAGATCTTCCTCGCTGTCTTTCCTCCTCTCTGTATATCTAACTTTGTAATAAAAATAAATAAATCTTAAAAAAATTCATTGTGAACAAAATATATTCCTACCTTTAGAGTATAAAACAGAATAATGTCCAAAATATGAATGAAGTGTTATTAAGTTACGTGTCTCAGCACGAATTTTCTTATCACTCTTCCAACAGGTCAGTAATCTAATAATAAAAGAAGACTAAATCAAACATTCAGCAACTCATTGCTAAAATGATGGGACCAAATCACAGCCCATCATTATTATCCCTGAATTTAAGTGGCTCAAACTCATCAAATATCATAGATTAGCAGACTGTGTTAAAAAAAAAAAACAAGGTAAAATACCCCAGAAGATATATAAATACGTTGAGACTGAACAATATGTTGCTAAATGAATAATGGGTTAGAGAGGAAATCAAACAGAAATAAAAAATGCTTGAAATGAATAGAGGCACCAATACAACATATAAAAACCTATGGGACACAATCAAGACAGCTTAAGAGGAAGGTTCATTTTAATCAGCGTCTATATCAAGAAAAACATCAAGTAAATTGGCTAGCTATACATCTGAAGGAGTTAGGAAAACAACAGTAAAGCAACCCAAGATCAATAAGAAAAATAATCAAAATAAGGAAAAATTAGGCCTAATAGAGACCCAAAGAACAATACAGAAGACCAATGAATCAAAGAACTGTTTCTTTGAGAAAAATCAACAAAATAGATTCCCCACTAGCCCAACTAATAAAAAAAAAAGGAGGGAGAAGATATGCATCAATAGAATCAGAGATAAAAAGGGAAATATAACAGATACTTCAGACATACTTAAACTAACCAGTAACTATTACAAGCAACTATACACAAACAAATCAGAAGACTTAAAAGAATTGGGTAGATTCTTGAACACATGCGATCTACCAAAATAGAGTCATGAGACAATTAATAACCTATAAATACACATAAGCTGGGCTAAGATTAAATCAGTAATTAAATCCCATCCAACAAAGAAAAGCCTGGAGCCAGAGAGCTTTATGGTTGTATTCTTGCAAATGTTTCAAGAAGAACGTATCCCAATTCTCCATAGGTTATTCATATCCATAGAAAGGAAGGCAATCTTTCCAAACTCTATGGAGCTAATATCACCTTACTACCAAAGATAGAGATAAGAGAGAAGGTTAACTACACACTGATATCTCTGATGAACAGAGATGCAAAAACCTTCAACAAAATACTATCCAACAGAATAAACCAGGCAGACCATTCATGAGGACCAGGAGTGATTTATCGCTGACATGCAGGTATAGTTTAACATATTAAAATCAATAAATGTGATACACCACATGAACAAATTGGAAATTAAAAGCATGATTATCTCAATAGATGTAGAGAAGGCATTTGATAAAAACACAACACTATTTCATGCTAAAAACTTTAAGCAAAATTTGTATTGAAGAAATATGCTAAGACACAATCAAATCAATATACAAAAAAAACCCAATTCAAATCAGAATTCAAATGGGAAATGAGAAGTTAAAATTATTCGTCTTTGCAAATGATGTAGTTCTATGATGGGAGAATCAAGAGACTCAATAAAGAGACTGTTGGAACTCATAAGAATATTTGGCAGGTAGTAGGTTGCAAAATCAATTAGCATAAGTTCTAGTATATACAAATAACTCCAAGGCTGAGAGAGAACTTGTAAGTACAGTCCCCTTTAACATAACAGAGAAGAATCTTAAATACCCTGGAATAAACGTAACCAAAGATGTGAAAGACCTCTGTGATGAAGATTGCAAAACATTAAAAAAGAAACATAAGAAAACACTAAAAGATGGAGAAATTTACCATTTTCTGGACTGACAAAATCTACATCATCAAATTGTTCATATTACCAAGTGCAGTATCCAAATTCAATACTATCCCAAACAAAATCCCAACAACATTCTTCTCAGAAATAGAAAAGATGATACAAGAATTAGTCAGGAAAAACAGGAGACCACCAATAGCAAAAAGATGTCTTGAAAAATAGAAATAAATCTAGAAGAATTACAGTTCTTGACTTCAAGCTATACTATGGGGCAGGGATCATCAAAACAGTCTGTTATTGGTACAGAAACAGATAAGAAAATCAATAGAACAAATTATACTCCAGAAGCAAATCCCACCATGCACTAATCTTCATCAAGAATGCTGAAAATAATCCAGGGGAAAAGTCTGGTCTCTTCAACAAATACTGTTGGGACAATTGGATCGCAGCTTGAAGAAGTAAGAAGCAAAATGTCTACCTCTCACCTTATACAAAAAAAAATCAGCTCTAAATCTGTACCCAGAAGCCATCAACCTATTAGTAGAAAACATAGGAGGCACTCTGCAAGGCATAGGCATTGGGAAAGATTTCTTAACAAAGTCATTCAAACTACAGGTAGTCAAAGCCGAAATAAACAAATGAGACTATGTCAAACTAAGAAGCTTCTGTACAGCAAAGGAAATGATCAAAATGTGAAGAAGCAGCCAAGATAATATCAGAAAATATTTGCACACTGCACAATTGATAGTGACCAATATCCAGGATTTACAAAGAGCTTCAGAAACTGAACGACAGCAAAGCAAGCCACTTTGTGAAGGAATGGGTGAAAGAAATGAGCATGCATTTTTCAAGAGAACAAATTCAAATGGATAATAGACATAAGAACAAAATCTCAGACTCCCAAGCTATTAGGGAAATACAAATAAAAACCGCATAAAGACCCCACATAACTCCTGCAAGGTAGGCCTACACTTGAAAATCTACTAACAACACCCGCTGGCATGGATATGGGAAGAAAGATACCCTACTTCACGGTTGGCAGGAGTGTAGATTGGTACAGTCACTATGGAAATCAGTGTACAGAGTCCTAAGACAATTAAAAATTTACCTGCCAGATGACTCACGTACCCCACTTCTGGGAATATATCCAAAAGAAATGAAATCTGTACATGAGAAAGTCACCTGCAACCACACATTTATAGCAGCACAATCTACAATGGCAAAAACATGGAAATAACCCACATGCCTGTCAAAAGAGGGCTAGGTATAAAAAATCATGATACATCTAATTCATGGAATGCTACTCAGATATTAAAGAAAATATATCAGTTGCAGCTAAATGGTCCTATCCAGAAAAATTTATGCTCAGAAAAATAAGCCTATCCAAAAGGGCAATGATCAAATGTTCTCTCTGATATAAGGCATATATACAAAAACCAAAATCAATAGATATATAAGTAAGCATGTGTATATTATATATATATGTATGCATGTATGTACATATATTTATCTAGAGGAACCGTATAATAGACTAACACACTGAGAGGTGAAGACACAGTGCAGTACACATCTTTACTTTCTAATAAAAGATAGTATCCTTTGAGAATAGGATTTTGAATAGGAATTGAGAATAGGATTCTGAAACTGGCAGAGGTAGGGGTAATAGGAGGGTGGAAGGGAAATTTCTAACTCTATGGAACTGTGTCATGAAAAACAAAAATTTTTTTAAAATCTGAATTAAAAAATAGTAACAAGATCTTCCAATAGTATGAAACTCCATAAATTTTCCAGAAAAAAAATTGTATTTTCACTCTGTATGTATTTTACTGGCATCATAAATAGAATTTACAATTTCCACTTGATGGAGTCCTCCAAAAACAGTGAAGTTGATCGATCCTCTCTGCATTCTACCACCTTAAAATGCAACTCTGGCAAGTTTTTCTCAGATAAACACTTTTCCATATAAAGTTTAGTTCTTTAGACACAGTTCAAATAAGTAACATTTAGCATTTTTAAAGTAATATCATTCTGAGTATGGGAAAACCAGTCCAGGTTCTAAAAAAAAAACATAGTTTATAATAGGCTCATTAAACCAATTGGTTAATAAATCATTGAGAAAATTAAACCCATAATTATACAGATTAGTTTCTTTTTTATATTTTTATTTGGCTTAGCAATGCCCACAATTCATATAAGCAGCAGGGATGTAGACTAGCTCCAGCTTCTGACTGTGGCACATGCAGAAAGCTACAGTGATGATTTCAGAAACTGGGTTCCTTTCCTAAGAGACTTGCATTAAATTTCTAGAACTTGATGTTGACCCGTCCAGCCTGAGCCGCTGCAGGCATTTCAGGATGGAACCAGAGCGTATGAATGTTCTCTCTATCCAGCTTTCTTCAGATAAACAAATAAAGCTAAGTGAATCATATTTAAAAGATTCATGGAAATGATTGGAAAATAAAATGTTTTAAAATTACAATAATGATCTAAATAGCAAAAAAAAAAAAGGAGGATTTCATGGTCTTCCATTTCTTAGAATTAAATCACTAAAATCTTTGAAATTCTTGTTTATGCTGCTCCAATGAGATCAAGAGGGGAAAGATAGCCTGTGACTCCCTTACAAGACAGGTAAGATAATTTAGAAGGTGACAAGTGAGCCAGTATTGTTGCACACTACCTAACCACTTGGTATGCCATATCAGAGTGTTGGTGCAAGTCTTGGCTGTTACATTTCACATCTGGTTCCCTGCTAAAGCACCTAGAAAGACAGCAGAAGTGAAATGACGGCTCATATACTTGGGGCCCTACCATAGGCCCTGGCTTTGGAATCACCCAAACCTGGCCATTGTGAGACCTGGGAGAATAAACCAACAAATGGATGGCTTTTCTCTGTCTTTTCTTTTTTCCCCTTGTCTCTTTCAAATAATTATATAAATCTTTTTTTAAAAATAAACACAGGATAAGTAGATATATAGGTAAACATGTATACACATATATTCTCATAAATGAACTGCATGACGAAAAGTAGCATACCAAGAAGTAGACACATTGCAGTATGCATCTCTACTCCCAAATAAAGATAGACTTCCAATTGTCAATATGTTAACAATAGGATGCTGGACTTCTACAATTGTCTATACCTACAATATCAGGACATGCTTAAATAACAGAATGATAGGTTTGGGACTGTTGTGGAAGAACTAAACAATTATAATAATGTAGAGAATACCAGTGTGGGGGATAAGAGAAAGCAGAAGGGGAAATTCCTGTGCATATGAACCATATCATGAAAAAGAAAAAACATTAAAAATAAATACATAAATAAAATAGATCATGTGATCATGGATTCTGAGGAAACATTGTTTGCTACGACTATTTGAAATTAATCAAGTATTATTCAAGTTATTCCTCAGGCAGGGTCTTAGTTGAGAAAGGTTTCGATCCTTTTGACACAAAAGACATTTCTTTATGGTGGTAGAAATATTTAATATGTCAAGATGTAAAAGTAAACATATTCTAAGTTAAAAGTCATCTAGCTAAACAATATAAGTATACATTGATCAATAATTTACGAGTATAGCTGTTACGTCATCTTTGCTTTTATTTATTACTTTTTAAATGGTTGATTTTAGAAGGAAGGTTATTTAACTATAATGAGAAGGAAGCTCTAGGAGAGCAAAGCACTGAAATCTACTTTGTTAGATTCATCATCACCATTACAAATGTAGGACAATCATTCACCAAAGGAGAGAGCAGTAAGAATAAATGAACACCTCCCTAGATTCGTCATCCTTTCAGAGAATAAACCATTCAGAAATAACTTAGAAGAAATATGCCATGAAAATTTTTGGAAACAATGCTCCTTTTCTCATTTTGTCACACACAGATCATCTTTTCTGAATATACGATTCAGTCCAGATACACATATAACAACAATAAGAGTAACTTTTTAAATTCACATCTTTAGGAAGACAAGGAATGTTCTGAAAACACATGAATTCATAATCTAAGATGAGACTGTAAAATTCCTTATGTGCACAAAGAATAGAAATATATAGCACTTTGTGTTAGATGCTTGCATTCTCTTCAAGATCAATCTGGGAATGACACTTACATAGCATGGCAGAGGGAAAGGAAAGATCTGGCTACAGTGCTTCCTGGCAGGACAATCCACAGGATTCCATGCTTTGTGACTCAAATTATCACTTCAATTCATTAAATTAAATTTTATTACTTAAAAAAATCTGTCCCACTGCAATATACTCTGCATGAAAAAAAAATGTTGGCTCTTTCATTAAGCATTAAAAATTTTGTATGCATTCTCTTAGATCAAAATTTTGTTTTGTAATCTGTAGTGATAACAGGTATGTTTTGTACCAACCTCGCTAGAAAAGAATTTTCTGCTTGGAGTTAGGAATTAAAAACAAATTTCCCAATTGACTGACAACCTAAGCCACAACCATAGCCAGTAACATCATTTACCACACATGCTCCATCCACTGTAGCATTGGTTCATAGAATCTGAGGTCCTTCCTGTTTAACAGTGGAAAGACAAAGTCCTAGGCAAGATGGACAAAAAAAAAAAGTGTTGAATGAAAACCTAAGGAAAATCACAGGAATGTGAAATGTTCAGACATGATTACTATATTACGTAGATGTGACCAGAAATATTTTGACTCTTTCTCAAACAGGTTAATTCCAATGTAGAATTTACGTTATACACCTTGCATTTAAAAAGTGAGGAAACAAGTAGATATTTTTTAAAAAGTATTATATGTTCTCATGCATATTCTCTTTTTCGTTTTTTAAGATTTAATTATTTTTATTGCAAAGTCAGATATACAGAGAGGAGGAGCGATAGAGAGGAAGACCTTCCATCTGATGGTTCACTCCACAAGAGGCCGCAGCAGCTGGAGCTGAGCCAATCCGAAGCCAGGAGCCTTCTCCAGGTCTCCCACAAGGGTGCAGGGTCCCAAGGCTTTGGGCTGTCCTTGTCTGCATTCCCAGGCCACATGCAGGGAGCTGGATGGGAAGTGGGGCAGCTGGGATTAGAACCGGTGCCCATATGGGATTGCGGCGCGTTCAAGGCAAGGACCTTATCCGCTATGCCATCACGTTGGCCCGTGCTCTCATCTATATTCTAAAAATGAGATATGTGTTACGGTAGTAGTCCTTATCATGCTTCTTTATAAGAAATTTGCTTAGTTACAGGATGTTGATATGTCAATATATCTTTGTGCTATTTAATTGTTGTGAGCTCCTTTTTCATGTAACAAAAGCTGTGTGTGTGTGTGTGTGTGTGTGTGCAAACCACACTTTTCATCTCTCTCTCATTAGGTGGGACAAACTCAACTTCTTGTTTCCAAAGATGCTGAGATAAACTAGATATATGAGCGATCAAAACATGACATGTCCTGGCTACACACATCATTCTTGGAATGTTGACAAGAATCATCAGACAAGGGACACTTTTTTTAGGGAACATGTTAGCCTGCAGCCTCTGGGAGTCAGATTGGATACCATCTGGAGAGAGCCTGCAGAGCAAATTTGAGGAGGGGAAGGGAGAGGGGCCTGAAAACACCATTTGGCCTGAAACCAGATGTACTGTTACATTTTTTTCAGCAGTAAATAAATTTCACAGAAGAAAAAAACTAGTTAAGTTGGAGTTTTGTAATTCAAATCTAAAAGATCATGGCTAGAACATAGTATGAAGCAAACACAGTTTTCCCTTTTTACTGCACTGTGGGGAGTTTAAATTATTCAAAAGTGTAGAACTCTGAATTGGTTTAGGCCAAATTAGTACTTTTTAGAAATCGTAACTGTGATTTGTGTTCTATTCAGAAACACGAATCTGTGAAGCTGTAGGAGTTTTCCTGCATTTATTGACTGCTACCTACTTCTGCTAACATATGCAGAGAATAATGTTAATATTTTTATATTACAGTGCACTTACAGACATTTACCTAGTTTAGTGTTCTCTTTTGCCATTTCTGCTCAAAAAGTAAACTGAAAGAACCCAGGCAGGAAAATAAGGCAAGTAAACCAAAAATATACAGCAGAAAGTTAAGGCAGAAAAATTAACCCTATATTTATTCAAAGATTATACAATCATGTATATAGAATACTGTAAGGAATTTTAAAAACCTATTAATATCAATGAGTATGTTGGACAAAATGACACTGAAAAAGTCATGAATCAATTATTTTCATTTATAATAATAACAGAAAAGTACAAACTGGAATTAAGAATGACTATTTCTGGTCCCACTGAATTGCCTTGATTGGCTCACCAGTATCCCATACTGGCACTGGTTCATGTCCTCGCTGCTCCAATTCCCATCTTGCTCCCTACTTGTGACCTGGAAAACCAGTAGAGGATGGCACATGAGAGACCTGGAAGAAGCTCCTGGCTCCTGGCTTCGGATTGGCTCAGCTCCAGGTGTAGTAGTAATTGGGGGAGTGAACCAGTGAATGCAAGATCTCTCTCTCTTTCTCTATCCTCTCTCTCTCTCTCTCTCTCTCTCTCTCTACATATATATATATATATATACATATACACACACACACACACATATATATATATATATAAATCTGTCTTTCCAATAAAAATAAATGTCTTTAAAAGCATCATGGCTTTAATCACATCCAAAAGATGAAGCATGAATAGATGAAATCTATAAAATAACAGAATCAATGAACAATGCTAATAAATAAGAGGACATAATCTTTTCTGGATTTTAAGACAGATTGTGTAAGTATCTATTCCTTTTAAATAGATGTCCATAATTGCTAGTAGCTTTTTCTATAAATGTTAACAAACTGTTTCATTTTGGGGGAAATGAAAAAATAGATTAATTAAAATAAATTTTAAAAGAAAGCATTACTTGAAAGTCATATGCTATCTATTTTTCATACTTCCTATAATGCTGTAATTAACAAAGTGCTATATTGGTGTAAAAACAAATGTAAATCAATGGGCTATAATTGAGGCCAGATACAGATATCCACACACATAAACCACTGATCTTTGACAAAGTTTCGCATTGACTCAAGGGGTAACCGTTATCCTTCTCAACAAGTATTATTGAAAGAACTGGCTGTCCATTTGAAGGCAAAAAGGAGAGGAAAGCTAACCCCCAAAAAGCAACTTCAAATGAGCATAGTTTTAAATATAAAAGCTAAAGCAATAACATTTCGAGAGGAAAATGTTTAAAATAAAAAAAAAAAACAAATATAAATCTTGGCAGAACCTTGGGAAAGAAAAAGAATTTCTTACATATGACACAAAAATGGAAACATACAGAATTCTACAAAACTGATTTCACCAAAATTAAAAATCTACTCTGAAAGACACCATAAATGATAATATAAACCACATACCTAGAAAAAGAATTTTCAAGTATCAGTGTTTGATATGCATGTAAGAACAATCATAGGAAGTCTTCAGGAGGGCCCAGTGCAATGGCTTAGTAGCTAAATCCTCGCCTTGCATGCGCCGGAAACCCATACGGACACTGTTATGTGTACACTTCCCTTCCAGCTTCCTGCGCATGGCCTGTGAAATCGGAAGAGCATGGCCCAAAGCCTTGGTACTGCACCCACATGGGAGACCTGTGGGAAGAAGCTCCTGATTCCTGGGTTTGGATTGGCTCAGTTCCAGCTGTTGTGGTGACCTGGGGAGTGAACCAGCAGATGGTAGGCCTTTCTCTCTCTGTCTCTCCTTCTCTCTGTAAATCTGCATTTCCAATAAAGATAAAATTAATCTTAAAAACATCCATAGGAAGTAATTTTATTTCCATTGCCAAAAAAGTATCTAAGCCATAAGCTGGCTTTCACAACCATAATTGTTCTCTTTATATTTCAGGACAAAAACGGAAAAGTTAAGCAGCGGTGTCTTAACTACTGTTCATTTATGTCTATTTCTCAAATGAAGAAAAAACAATTCAGTAGTTGAGTATTCTAAAAGCTGTACACAGGCTCTGAAGGAAACATTCTCTCTTTAGCACACACTGAAGGACGTAAGAGGATAAGAATGGTCATTAAAGGATGAGACTTCAAATTTGCCACTGTAATGTCAAGAATCTATAATGACAGTGGTAGGAGTCCAGATCAAACAAGAACTTTAGTATCTAGGAATAACACAGAGCTGTTCAGATAGCCAAAGAGAATGCCATGCATTTGTAACAATTAAGCTAATGGTTTTATTATTAGTATTATGAAGTTATATATTAATATTATTATATTATTTATTATTCATGTCAATGAAGAAGTCACAGGATGTGGTTAAGAATTTGCATTTTTTCCAGTTGTGCCCATTTAGCCACAAAGAACTGCATTTTGTTTTTTTTAATAGCTGAGTAGTATTCCATGGAGTAGATGAACCAAAGCTTTCTTATCCAATCTTCTGCTGATGGGCATAATGCTAAGGGAAATGAGCGAATCCCAAAAGATTAGATACCACATGTTTGCCTTGATTTAACCTGTAATTTTTTGTTTGGTTGTTTGTTATTTTTTGAACCTGTCATTGATACTGTCTCAACCCAGATGTTTCGAAGAAGGGAACTTGCATTATTTTTAACATATTGTTTACCCAATACTATGTCAATTAATTCCATAATGTTGTATATTGATACTGAGGCCTTGTTGGGGCTTTTAACTGACCGGATCTTTACTCTGTTAGACCTATCTTCAGACCATAGAAGGTCTCCCCAAGAGGCCACTGAACTTATCTGGACAATAAGACGCTGAACTTTATGCTAGGCAAGTGTTTGCAAGCAATGAATCTCAACTGAACTTGAACTATGGTTATGCAACAAGGTGGAGGAATCCACCATGGGGGGAGGGGTATGGGAGGGGTGGGGGGAATCCCCAGTGCCTATAAAACTGTACTACATAATACAATGTAAGCAACAATAAAAAAAAAAACCCTGAATGTAAATGGTTTAAACTCATCGATCAAACATCATAGATTAGTACACTGAATTTAAAAACAAGAACCATCTATTTGTTGCCTACAGGAGACACATTTCACCAATAAAGATTCGTGGAAACTATAAAAAAAAAAAGAATTTGCATTTTTAAAAACATATTGGTTACTCAATACCATGCAAATTAATTCCATAACGTTATAAATTGTTACTGATGTTATGTTGGGGCTTTTAATTGATTGGGATGATACTCCGCCAGCTCTACCTTCAGACCAGAGATGGTCTCCTCAAGAAACCATTAAACTTATCTGGATGCTGGACTTTATGCTTGGTAAACGCTTGCAGTGAAAGAATCTCAACTGAATTTGAAGTGTGGTAATGCAACAAGGTGGAGGAATCTACATGGGGGGAGGGTTTGGGAAGGGGTGGGGAGAATCCCAGTCTCTATGAAACGGTGTCAGATAATGCAATGTAATCAATTTTAAAAAAAGAAAAAAAAGAAGTATTTGATGAAAAAAGAAGTATTTGATGAAATACCCATATACTTTACAATAGATAAGCATGGTATAAATATATTATTAATATTTAAGTAAATAGCTATTACAACAGAAAAATAATTATATTATTTATTATTAACATTATTATATTATTTATAACAATATAGTCATAATAATTATATTAATCATTAAGATACAATTTTTTTCATAGAGCATTAAATGTAAGTTGTTTTCCTATCACTTTTTATCCCACTCACAAATGCTGACCAGAGCTCCCTTGCCCCTTGCGGAACACACAGTTGGCTATCTACTGAAGATGTGGTCATTCCAATAAGAAACAGTTGCAGGAGCAAAGCCTTCAGAGAAGATGCTGACAGTTATAACCCAAATGTACGAAGACAGATGTATAAAAACAAGAAGCAGGAACAAAACATAAAATGTAACCCTAAACAAAGAAAAACAAAAATAATCCTTCAATATTAAGCTATGAAGATGAGATTAATTTACCTGAAACATTAGACATAAATTATTTAATATGCCAAATAGAAATAAAATGCCATGAACCTCTAAAAAGTTGAGCCAAAAGGCTTCAATAAGACATTATTGGAACTCGCAAGACAGCTTCACCAAGTTGCAGGATGTAAAACCAAAACATAAAAATCAATAGTACTTTCATATATGCAAACAATGCCATGACTGCCAAGAAAACTCGTGAAAATCAGTCTTTTTCACAATGCTACATGAACAACTTAAAGAACATGGGACCAATTTGAGCAAGGATGTGAAACATCTCCACAGTAAAAATTACAAAACATTCAGGAAAGAAATAGACGACACACACCGAACAAATGGAAAATCTGTCATGTTCGTGGAGTGGAAAAATAAGCAACAAGAAAATGTGCATACTACCTAAAGTTGTTTACAGACCTAATGAAATTCCGTTGAAAATATAAAGAATATTTTCTGAGATATAAAAAAAAAACTACCTCAAAATTCACATGTAAATACAAGAAAACACAATTAAACAATTCTAAACAAACAAAAATGACAAAATGATGCCAGAGCCATCAGAATACCAGATTTCAACACATACAACCTCGCAGTTACAATCATAATAGCCCTTTAATTGGCATCACCTGAGATGTGGACCAATGAGACAGAATTGAAATCTAGAAATTAACCTATACATCTAAATATGGGCCAAAGCGAGAGAAAAGAGATTTCCAAAGGAGAATTACTCAAGCACAGATAAGCAAAAGATAAACAATTGACACTGTGCTTCTGGGTACAGGAAACGAATCGTCATTTTTCTGCTGTCATTCTGCTACATCAGCTTTTTTTTTTTTTTTTGCCTCAGGACCCCTTTGTTCTTGAAAGTTTTTGAGGTCAGTGTTGTGGCTTAGCAAATAAAGCTGCAGCCCCTAGGGGCAGCAGTTTGGGTTCTGGACACTCCACTTCTGATCCAGCTTCCTGCTAATGCACTCAGGAAAGTAGCAGAAAATGGCTCTTGTACTTGGGTCCCAGTCATCCGTGAGCGACCCGGATAAAGATCCTGGCTGTGGCTGTCCCCTGCTTGACCAGCTCCCAACTCCATATTGAGCACTGTAGCCATCTAGGAAGTGAACCAGTGAATGGGAGATCTTGCTCGGTGGCTATTCTCTTTCTGTAACTCTCTGAGTTTCAAATAAATAAATAAATCTTTTTTTTTTTTTTAAAAAGCTTAAAAAAATGAATTGATTTAGAAAAAATGAGCTAACATCATTCCTGGGAGAATTAAAAGTCTCTTTAACAAACGATTTTAGGAAAGTTGGATCTCTACATGTAGGAATATGAAAGAAGATTCCTACTTTACCCATATACAAAAACCAACCCAGAGTTGAGAATTGTGGGTTCAGTTAGAAACTGAAACCATCAAATTTTTAGAGGAAAACACGGTAAGATGTTGGCATACGTGAAATCTTCTTGGATAAAACACCAGAAGTACAGGCAACAAATGCAAAAATAGACAAATAGGATTGCATTAAGCTAAAAAGCTTTTGCACAGCAAAGGATTCACTCAACAAATCAAAGAAGCAATTGACAAAAACGGAAGAAAATATTTGCAAACTAAGCAAACATTTTGCAAAAAATTTGCAAATTAAGCATAAGATTAATATCTAGTACCCGGGCCCGGCACGGTGGTGCAAGTGGTTAAGGTCCTCGCCTTGCACGCCCGGGATCCCATATGGGCGCCGATTGTATCCCGGCTGCCCCGCTTCCCTTCCAGCTCCCTGCCTGTGGCCCGGGAAAGCAGTCGAGGATGGCCCAAAGTTTTGGGACCCTGCACCCGCGTGGGAGACCCGAAAGAGACTCCTGGCTTTGGATTGGCATGCCATCAGCCGTTGCGCTCACTTGGGGAGTGAATCATCGGACGGAAGATCTTCCTCTCTGTCTCTCCTCTCTGTATATCCACCTTTCCAATAAAAAAATAATAATAAAAATAAATCTTAAAAAAAAATCTAATACCCAAGATACTCAATAACAAATAATCCATGTAAGAAATGCACAATTGATAGAGAGACACTTCAAAAAAGGAAACAAAAGGCCAGCAGACTCATGAAAAATTGCTTAGGATCATTAGGCATAAGAGAAATACAAATAAAAACCACAATGAAGATTCAGCTTATCACAGTTAGAATTGTTATCAATCCTAAATAAATAAATAAATAAAAGAAAAATGCTGGAAAGGCTAATGAGGAGGTAGGAAAAAAGATCCCCAATATACGGTTGATTAGAACATAATCTAGTATAAGTATGGATGGCATTATGTACTTTTCTTATAAAACTGAAACTAGATCTACCATACAACCCTAGCCTTCCCATTCCTTTGAACTTGTATCAATGAAATTAAATCAGCCTATAAAACAGTTATCTGAATTTTCCCCATCCACCCCATATTTACTGTAGCTCAATTCAGTCAAGTCATGATAACTAAGATACAAACTCAACTCAAGTATTCATCAATTGATGAATGAATAGATAAAGAAAATGGAATCTATATACATGATGGCATATTATTCAGCTATAAAAAAGAAATGCAATCCTATCTTTTGCAATGAAATGGATACAACTGAGGACGTTCTTTTTAGTAAAATAAGCTAGACCCAAAAAATACAAATATGTTTTGTCTGACTTGTGGTAGGTAATAAATAGAATTTTTCAAAAGTCCTTAAATGTATAAGAATGAAATTAACATACTATGATTTGATTGTTGTTTACAGGCCTTTTCTATGCTCCTGTGGAACAGTGGCTTTTCTACAGTTTAGTTGATGGATACTAATTAAATATGTGATTATAAAATAATTTGAAAGTATGATGTCATAAAAACTTTAAAAAGAATCAAAGGAGGAGGAATGGAAAGAAATGTTGTTTTGTTAGGACTATTACCTATAAATCATGAAATCTATTCCAATTATATTAATAAAATTATATTAGAAATAAATTAATTTTCTTAAACTGTCTTATGTCATTAGGCAATTCTTTGTTTCAATAGACTGGCATCAATGAATGACTTTTTTCAGTTCTCCGTATTTGCCTTATCCATTAGAGACTTGATGTTTATTGATGACATCAGGAGAAATTTCTCTTCACCTCATTTTTATCAATAACCTTTCAGTTATTCTTCATCTCACCTAATCATCCCTTTTTAATGAATTTCTGAAGAAGAAATGTCACACATAGTTAATATATACATGTCAGATAATGACCAAGTAAATGAATGAATAAACTTTTCTGCAGAATCTCCTATTTTGACCAATTCCTTCTGCCATATACTTGAGTTATCACAAGAATTAAATAATCAACTATGAAATTAGTTCTTTAAATTCTTCATTTGCAAATATCAGAAACTCCATGAGAGTAGTGGCCATGTTTGTTATTTTTTATATTACCAGACTGAATGAGTTCTTACTGAACATGTGAACATAACAATCATTGAACAAACATAAAGATTTTAAAATAAATTTTCTAGCATGACACATGGTCACACAATTTAAGTTAGGAAAACTATCACTTCACATTTTTCTTCTAAAAGTGTTAGTTTACAACCAAACATCTTACAACTTTTAACTTCCAACAATTTATACTCATAACATAAAAATTTTTTTACTTGAAAGATAGATTTACAAAGAGCAGAGACAGAAAGATCCTCCATCTGTTAGTTCACCCTCCTACCCCCAAAAGGCCACAGTAGCTCGAACAGAGCTGATCTGAAGCCAGGAACAAGGAGTTTCTTCCAGGTCTCCCACTTGGGTGCAGGGTCCCAATGCTTTGGTCCATCATCTACTGCTTTCCCAGACCACAAGCAGGTTGCTGATTGGGAAGTGGAACAGCCAGGAGATGAACTGGTGCCTATATGGGATCCCAGCACTTGAAGGGGGAAGACCAGTCAACTGAGCCATTGTGCGAGACCCAACAATTTATATTCTTAAAAATTGTCTGGTAGGAACAGTAATTATCTGAACATAATTAAAACATAAAATGTATTGGTAAAATTGACTCAGAGTGATGGAGATGGTCATAGTAGGCGTGATTATTTTTCACCCCTAACATGTTTAACACCATGCCATAGACTGTATTAAATAAGGGTGGTTTCTTTAGATTGAACACTTATAGGAAACAATAAAAAGGCAATATGAATTCAAGAAATATTTACAGAACTTTCCATGAGATAGCAAAACAAGTTCTGTGACTCCTAGCCCTAAACATATGGTACATATGTTAGAAAATGTCAAAGACCAAGGGGAAAATGTTTTGAAGTCTGTTGAGGAGAATTGCTATTCGGTGCATTTCTTCTCTCTACCCAAATGAGGGATTCTTAGAAGCATCCTTAATGTGAACATGTTTACCTAAAGGGGAGTCCAAGGTCTGAACAACCTGATGAAACTTGTCAAGGTGAGAAAGTATGTGAGCTCAACTCATTTTGCACCAGAATAAACAGGAAGAGTTCTGTTAAAAGCCAGTCATCTTACCTACCTGAGTCTTTAAGTATAGGTTAGCAAAAAAGCTGATGTTCTTGGCTTGGAACTGTGATTGCCCAGAGCTGCTTGGGTGGAGACTGGAGAAAAAGACTACAGTGTAAAAATCAGCTCTTGAGTAACTGAGTGGAAGGGCAACTGTAAAAGCTCAATTGGCCAATGCTCTATCTGTAAGTGCCGGGATTGCATAGGGTACCAGTTCATGGCCCAATTGCTTCACTTCCCATCCAGTTTCCTGCTTGTGGCCTTGGAAAGCAGTGGGGAGTGACCCAAAGCCTTGGGATCCTGCACCCATGTGGAAGAGCTGGAGAAAGCCCCTGGCTCACGGTTTCAGATCACCTCAGCTCCAGCAGACTGTTAAAGCCATTTGGGGAGTGAACCAGTGGATGGAAGATATTTGTCTCTCCTTCTTTCTATAAATCTGATTTTCAAATAAAAATAAATAAATCTTTAAAAGAGAAAATAACTGAATGGAGACAAGATATGAACAACCCTGCTGAGAGCATCTTGAAGGATTTCCTTCTTCCTCTGACTCTCTTCTCTCATAGAATACTCTAACTCTGCTGCCTCCCATAAGCTCACGGAGAAATAATAGTTAATTAACTGTAGTGGTATTGGTGATTCCCTGGTAAAAATGATTAGATCACTAAAGTGTTTGAAGAGAAAGAGTATTTAGGCGTTTTTCAAAGTGTGGGTCCAAATGCCACATGTTAGAAAGCACCAGTCAAGTAAGATCTTCCTCCTCTCACTCTTCTCTACCCTTATCCAAGGATAGGACAGAAGCAGCTTATTGTGTAGGAGGCATCTTCATAGAGTAAGCTTTAGAAAGAGTATAAGAAAAGACTGAGGAGTCCTTCCAAACAAACTTTCTATGTTTGTGTGAAACCTAAGATTAGAAGAGATCTGAGTTAAGAAACTCAACACTTTCAATACTGAAAATTCAGCTTTTATTTCAAGAAAAGAAATTTGAATACGATTAGATCATAATACAAATAAACAGAAAAGTCTAGAACGAAGCTAATTAGCCATGACTGAGCTTATTCTGTGATAACATCCTACTCAGGATAGTCTGCTTAAATAAATTAATTCAGACAGACCAAGCTAATTTTCCTTAAGGCAGTATTGCAATGTGTGCATAGAAGAAGCTAGCCTTACTTTTTGAAAATTTGAAATCTATTGGTGAGAAACCAAGGTTTAGGGCCTAGTTTTGTAAAGAAAAATCTCAGAAATTAAGGGCAGGAGAAGCGTGAAGTATTCAGAGGCAACCATAGCCAAGGCCTGGAAGAAAGGTTCTTTCTTAATATCAGGTTTACAAGTTCAGACAGTGTATATAACCAGTGTACTGATCTAGAGTTGGTTTCTGTTAATATAATCCAGGATAGTTATTCAGACTGCCTGGTTTGCAATTAAAATAATCTGATCAATATAGAGAGACTGTGAAGTACCCAACAAGTTAATCATTGGTGAGAGAACATACAATACCCACGAACATGAAAGGGTCACATGAAAAAGAGACTAGAACTATTGCATGTGTGGGTGACAAGAGAGCAGTTGGAGGAAGGGTAGGGATTTAAAAAAGTAGGAGGAAATCTGTTGGGGATTATAAAGGAGAGAACTCACAGTATGAGTTGGAAATAAACATGGTAGTAACAGAAGTGGGTTTTGTGTGATGGATCCTTGTCTAGGGAACTGGAACCTACGAGAGTTTCAGGGATTCTTCCAGAATATGAAGGATGCATAAGTCAGAAACTCCTGAATGTGAGATGTGGCATGGCAAATATCAAGGCTCTCCTGTGTTCACAGACTGTTCTTGCTTCCTGGGTAAAATGGTGGCCATAGGGAGACAGGCCCCAGTGGATGCTTTGCAAACCATGGGTTTGAGTGAAAATCCTAGAACCATTGGTGTGTGCAACCTTTAATTCTTGACCATACTTTGCACTGCAGGAAGATACTATTCTTACTATCCCTTCAAGAAATCAAGTGTCATTTACTCAAGAAAGAGATGTTACTATTTTTTATTATTAGAATTTATTATTAAAGAAAACACTTCAAAAATAATTTGGAACAAGTCAGCAATGTCACTTTTCAGAAAACCTGTTTATGGAGAATTTCTGTCAGCAACATTGAGGTGTTGAACAGGATTCCTTCCGTCTCATTTAAGTCATTTTGCCATGGCAAGCACTCACATCATGAGTTCAATATCAGTCCAGGAAATAGAAACTGTAAAATGCCTATCCACTGGCTCAGGGACGCAGCACAGAACTCACTTGTCCTGTCTGGCTATGGCAATGTCTCACAGTTTCTTCTTGATGATGATATTAATGGTTTTTTTGTGACCCACAATTTTAAAAGAAGAGTGATAGAAGGGGATAAATAGAGCTAGAAAAGTTTTTCATTTGCTAGTTCACACCCCAAATTTCTGAAACAGTTAGGATTGGGCCAGGTCGAAGCTAGGAACCCAGTATTATCTGGATCTTCTTTGTAAGCGGACGAAATCAGGAATAGTAGCAGGAAAGTGAATCAGAGATGAAATAGGTAGGACTGCAACTAGCATTCCCTTCGATGCAAGTCATTGTTTAACTTCCTGTGCTTCAATGCCAGCCTCCATTGGCAGTTCTGAGAAGTATTATTCAAATGCTTGTTAGAGATCCCTAAACTGAGATTTTAAAAAAAAAAGATTTGTGTGTTTTTATTAGAAACAGAGAGACAGACATAGATCCTCTGGTTCATCCTCCAAATGGCCAGAGCTGAGTTGATACAGAGCTGGGAGCCTGGAGCTTCCTCTTGTTCTCCCATGTGCGTCCATGGTTCCAAGGACATAGCCAGTCCTCTGCTG